GAGGCTGAGCCCAGCAGTGCCACCTTCCCTTCCCTGGGACAAAAGGGGAAGGGAAATATCCCCAACTTCAAGAACTCCTGCAGTGGAGAGAGGTTAAAGCAGCTTGTTTATGTGTATAAATTGAATAACGGTGTCTTTTAGAGAAGGAAACCAAAGATTGATGTATTTGATTATAGGTGTGGAAAAGAGTTGGGAAATGGGTTCGTTCCAGGTTCAAGGAATGCAGAGGGTCACAGGATTCTCCTTCAGGTGGATTTTCCTTCCCTGGGAGGGTGAGGAGGGGCTGGGATGGAATTCCCAGGGAAGGCTGGACAGGGCTTAGAACCACCTGGGACAGTGGGAGTGTCCCTGGAGGGAGCTGGGTGAGCTTTGAGCTCCTTCCAACCCAAACCCACTCTGGAATTCTGTGATGGAGGCACCCAGATCCCAAACCACAGCCTTAAGTCCAGTTCAAACCCCACTGGGATCGGCCTTTCCAGCAGAGAATTCCTGCTGCTCTGCTGGGACAGTCCCCCCTTAACCCAGCCCCAGTTCCCTGCTCTGCACATTTCCCACCCAAATTTCCTTCCCTGGCTCCCAAACACCTCCAGAAAACCTTCACCCAGTCCTTGCTACCACGATAAAAATCCACTTTTGTTTAGGAGAAAACAAACACTGCTTCAAACAAGCCCTGCCCGGGAGGTTTTAATTGCAGGGAATCTGCCGGGTTGCTATTTTTACCTGGATTGGAGGCGCATCAAAGCTGATTTTGGAGGAGAGGAGGAACTCAGCCTCTCAATGCACAGCGGCAGCAGCTCCCCCAGCCCTGAGCCGGGCTTTGCTGCTCGTTAGCAGCGGCTCCTGATGAGGCTGCTCTTGTTTTCCACGCTGCTTTTGATCCCGGACTCATTAAAATCTGATCCTGCTGTGGAATTGTTTCCCTCTCCCCAAACCTGCGGGGTTGGGGGTGCCCAGAGCGTTGTCCCCAAGTCCCCCAAATTGATTCCAAAGCTTTTCCTCACAAGCAGGAGCTGGGTGGGAGCTCCAGCCCAGCTCCCTTCCCAACCCAAACCTTTCCTGGGGTTTGTTTTCCCAGCCACGCTCACAACAAGAATTAACAAATAAAGGCTTTATTGCCTTGGAATATTCAGGGTTTGGGGTATTTGGAGCAGAGTTTCCTGCTGGCCATGGGGAGAGGCCTCTGCTCCTGCCCCGGGGCTGCCTCCAGCTCCCCCCTGGGGGGCTCCAAACAGGGATTTTATGAAGGGAAAAATCCCAATATTTGATTCCATGTGGGGACAATTAAACCAAACCTGCAGGAAAGCAAATTGTCAAATCCTTAAATCATCAAATCATTCACCAGCCTGGAAACCTTTTCTTGCTGTCCCCAAAACATCCTCGGGGTATTTCAGAGGAACGCCAGCATTCCAAGGGAACAACAACAGCAATTCCTTACCCACCTTTACTCTCCCACCACCAGAAAATTACCACTTCCAGAATTCTCTCCATCCCTACAAAATACCCAAAA